CAACCTATTTGGCATGATGGGCAACGTCGGGTGGGACTTCTAGTTCATAAAAAACCATATAAGTTATTATATTTTAAAACTTTTTAGTAACAATAACATTAAAATATTTTTTTTAGTGAATATAGGTACGTATATGTATTTAATATTTACTTTGTTTAAATAACTAGTATCATAATTTTGTTTGTGTGTAATTTCAAATTTTTACTAACAAAAATGGAGTGTTAGGAACCAAAAAGTGCTAAATAAAATATTTTTTAAACATAAATAATGATATTTGTACAATAAATTTAACTGTAAACCCAGTAAGTAAAAGGCTATCAAGAATCTAGCTTACAACAAAAAACCTGTAACGACAACACTGTAATCCTATTAACATTAACGATGGGAGTATTAGTGATTATTTCAGAAAACAAAGAAGGTAGTTAAATAATATGGTTATTTATTTTCGTATGTCTCCTTATTGCATAAAAAAAATATGACAATTTTTTTGCATACGCTTTTTCCCTTCACGGCGAAAAAATATTAGAGTAGCCTCTCCATAGTGCTATTTTTAGTATGTTAAAAGACATATAAATATAACTTTTTTTGTAATTAACTATAGTGTTACAAGTTTCACTCTTAGGTTTTATATGCGCCGCAACTTATTTTTTTTTTTGACAATAATATGGATAATTTTTGAATTATCATAGTTTATGATAAAAGATAATGCAGTTACAGTTATACCTATTTTAAAAAACTCTTCTAATGAATTTCATATTTTTTAGATAGCATATCTTTTGGTTCCAAGCTCAACAAATACTAAATAATTATTGGATTATTTAAAAGTACACTGCCATACAATACATTAAAATGTATCAACATAATGTTAGATATTATTGTTGTCTTATTTGTTCATTAGTTATTACCATGCTATGATGATTACAACATATTATAGAAAATAAATTTCGAAATAAATGTATTACAACAATTTCCACATTATGGCAATTTGACAGTACTTTTTTCTTCATCGGAATATTATTAAACTATTATTTATTACTAATTTTTTTCTTTTTTTTCAGACTTTGGTAAGAAACATTTTTTATTTCATTGATATTAATTTCCTAATAGTTTCTGAATACTTAAGCGATATTATTTTTTCTCTAAGAAGTTACCGTACAAATTAAGATTAAAACATGCCTTTCGGGAAAACTCTCACGCCTCGTAGAGTGATCCGGTTTTGATGATTTTTCGTAAAGAGAAATACTTCTAACAGGGTGCATTAGATTTGGATTACCAACAATATTATACGATTTCGAATATGACCAATTCTTACAAGCTCTCGTTACTTTTAATATATTTGTTAGTCAATAGAAAATCTAAGTTTAAGATACCAAAAAGAAAATTATCTAATTACAAAAATAATTAATCAAATCTGACCAAACTACGATGGGTGAAAGTGTTTCCTGTATGGAATGTTTAGAGACAAAAACCAAGATTTTAATTTTTGATCAGCGGTGCCGTTGCCTTGACGATAGCCCGTAGATAGCCTGGTACTCGCATACAATCACACTCACACCAATTATCATTGACTACTTTCACAAATGCAGAGAGCGGCAGCCACAGAACTGCACGGTGCCTAAATATTGCCCCTTAATAAATATTGAAGAGCAAGAATCTTAAGAAAATCTCTGAGCACTGTTTGTTGAACACAAACTCTCATTGACCCACCCATAAAATAAACAGAATCCACTTATACGGGAACTTTTTTAATGTTTTTTAGTAATCTTAGAGTAAAAACTTTCATTACAAAAATGATTGAGTATAATATTTTTGAGTGTGTTATATATTGATTTGCTTAAATATTATCTGAAAAACAATTTAAATATCAACTAAATTTAAAAAAAAATTGTATTGTTATTTTGAAAGTCGAAGCATATTCCTCAAAAATATTTTCCTCTATAAATTTTGTTTTAGATGATTATACTCGGAAAATTACTCAAAAATGATAAAAAAGAAAAACCATCGTAGTTAAAGTGTTTTATCTATATTGCGCGTTTGTCTGAAAAATACAATAAAATAATATTGACATCCTTTTCATCGTTCAATTTTATGGATGTTATATAATTATAATTTTATAATTATACCTATATATATATATAAATCATAAGCGTGTATTGTTTATTCCAGAGGGTGGTATTCGTAAGTTGATTTTATTTTTAGTTAAAACTTTATTTTATACAGTATAGCAGATGAATCATAAATGTGAATGGTCCATTTTAATACTACATTGTTGATATTATATTTAATAATTTATAATTATAATTATAATTCATAGTTCAATCAATCATCTTATAGCAAAACAATTTAATGACAATTTTATAATTAATAACCAAAACTGTGTTTTATTTCAGCTAGAGAAGGTACGTAAACATTAATCAGTTTAAATGTATACTGATGTTCTTTATTCTTACAAAGCTTCCCTTTACGAGATGCAAGAAATACATGGATGTTCAATGATATTTTTATATTATCATATTATATTTGTGAAGTTAACAATTTTTTTTTTCGAATAAATCTAACATAATCCATTGCATTCTTAGATATCGGTATAATTAAATAATCTGAACAACTGATAGAATTACAACGTTGTATAATACTTAATTAAAATTCAATTTGCAATTATACATGTTTTCATAATCAGTAGACAGTAATCAATACATCGCAGTGGCGTATTTATAGGGGGGGGGGCGAGGGGGCCCGGGCCGCTCCCGAAATGAAAAACGCAATATTAAAAATTGTTATTTTTGACAAGGAACTTTTTTTTATATTAAAATTCATTAAAAAAATTATTGAGTTTCAAGTTTCTTATTACTCTGATGGTGTAAAGAGAGTTGAAAGGTCTTGTGGTATTCAAGCAATTTTTGTCCAAATAGTGTGTCTCCTCCCTCCTTTCCCCAAAGAAATCCAAATATATAATCAGCCCCCTCCGAAATAAAAACCTATATACGCCATTGGTACATCGGTACCAGTATCAGTTCCATATTTGCACATTGTTAGTAACCCAAGTAAAACATTTTGGAGACAACCTGTGTATTGCCAAAATCCTCAAAATCCCGGTCACCTGCATTTCTAAAGAAAATGTAGTTTGTAAGTTCTACGTAATGAAATGTTTTATAGAATCAGGGAATACTGTATATTTCTTGAATTATGTGAATCATAAGGTATGATACAATTTATTAATAATATGTTTGTTATTTTTTTCTAGACGAAACTGCTGGTTACACTGGATCATCGACTTGTACGAGCGGAGTGTGTGCGCCGCCATACCTAGATGTATATGAACTTGTAATAGGAATGTTGTTTTGCTGGTATTGTCTTCGAGTGTTTTTCTTGTTGAAAACTTTGTCGAAGGAATTATGTTGAGAAAAAGGTAACTGTCCGTCGGAAATCGACCTGTATATAACTCGAGTACCGTACCGACTACCTACTAGTAAACCACGGGTGTGCCGCTTTGTCACCCGTGTTTATTGTCGGGACGATTTTTGCTGTTATTTGCTGACTCAATGGGTTCCGGTCATGGAGAGGGGCTCCTTCCTTATCCTTATATTATTTCTATGACGTTTTATAGCCACTATACAGCTTGTATTTGTTATTTGAGCTAGATGTTTTATCTGGTTTTCAATTTTTTTTGGTGAATCTGAAAGGTTAATCATAACATAACTACGTAAGTTGTGTTCTCACACTGTAACATAATACTTTTAAAGTCAACACAGTCAACTGTGGGAAATAAATTGTTTTTGTCTAACGAAGGCCAAGAAGCATTTTTGAACACTTTTCAAACTTTATGGATATTGTTAAAGCTGAAACTTTTAAGCTTGAGGTTAGAGCATTAATTTTTTTTGCCATTGTTATAGGTAGCTGGTACCTCTAATCAAATATCTTTTTAAAAAAAGTTTAAAAATTCAACTTCATGAAGATAAATATTAAATATATAGAATTAGCTCTCATTTTTAAAATAATGATTGTAATTTAGATATTAAAACTAACCAAAATGTTAACGCTTTCTTTTACTAAATCGAAATTTTCTAATAAATCAATGTTTTTCAAAAATATAGACATTTACAAAATTTTAGCAGTCCCGTTTAACATAAAATGAAATCTGTTTTCCATATTCATTGGTGAGAAACGAGACAATTGAGTGACCGGAGAGACCTAAATAGCGTTTATCGTGCACTGTGAATACGGCACATTATTTAATTATTTCTATGTATCCATCTATATTATCTTCTATTCTATCTTTTTTCAATCGCATTCAACATATTTATATTGTATTACTGTCCACATGATAATATACATTCAAGGCGTTTGGTAGGAATTCAAATATATTATCCAAAAGTGTCATTAGTTTAGTCAACAAATAGACTATACGGCTATAGATACGATTAAATTGTCCAATTCCGTGCGAAAATATAGTATAAATAATGCATATAAACAGATAAATACATAAAATATAACTTACAGTTTAGTTATCAAAGTTTATATTTCAGTAAAATAAAAATATACGCATATATTTTTTTAACTTCAATTTTTTAAAAACACAATATACAATATTAAATTAGATGGAAGTGTTACAGGTGCAAGTTATGTACGATGAATGTTGAATTGATTGTGGGTGGGTACTGTGTGGAGATGCATTATTTTGAAGCCACTTTAGAAAAAAATATTTCAAAATAATATTATTTGAAATATGTATTTCACTATCAAAATGCAAAATGAAAATGTTATAAAATGCACTAAATTCTCAAAATGCAAAAGATGAATGATAGGAGATCCCGCATCGATAATAATATCGTGTACGAGTATTATTTTGTGTTTGGAGGTCATTGTATAGAAAGAATAAAACAATTTTGTCATTAAATAAACTATATCCGTATATAATTCAATCGCATACTGTTTTACTTATGTTTGAATAAAATAATACTAAAATACATATTCAATTAGTATTTTTTTTTTTTTGTAAACCTTAACAATATGAACAATAAGCAACAACAGCAATCAAAACTCCGATGAGAAACAAACAACTTTTTGATTTTTCTGTTACTCAAAAAGCAACACTCGTAGGTATCTTGTTCATTAGCACCTTCAAAAAGCAAAAAACAGAAACAATGAAACATAACATGTTTTTGTTTATGTTTATAAAAATGTTTTACACAATACTATTGGGATCGTCTGCCAGTTCAAATCAGATTTTGAGTTCTTCATTCGTAAGTGAACTGCTATGCTATTTTACTATAAATATCACTATTGTAAAAATACCATGATAGGTACCTTTAATAACAGAAGTCACTTTTAAAAATATTAAGTACCTTTCTCACATTGCTATGAGAACTACTCGTCTGGGATCTAGTGTATTCAATGTTCAAGATTTTTGATCTGGTCTATAATTTTTGAGCGCAAAAAAATAAAAATTAAAAAATCTTTGTTGATTTTAACAAATCCATAGAAAAACTCAACAGTTTCAAATACATAGTATAATTTTAACCTTATAATCATTAGACACTTTTTTTATGCCGATAACTGATAAGTAAACATAAGTTGTTCATACAGAAAATTAATAATATCTAAAATACATAAAAAATGAGCCAAAATATTTTTCAATATTTATCATTTCTATACCCTATAGTAAAAAAGAACGTTAGTCGGACATGTCATTACTAAGCGGGGTGACAAATGTTGCCTGACTGCCACCCGGAAAAAACTGGTTGCCACCGACTACCGTTCTTTTTTGAAATTTTGAAATAGAATATAATTTAAGTTAATAAATATTTTTTTTTATTATATGCCATAAAAGTTGTTGATTTTTGAATTTACAAAGTTTGTACAAACTAACCATCGGAATAATGGAACAAATTCCTGATAAATATTGTTTCCTGTATTCAGAGTTCTCTCTGTAATCGTATTAATGTGAAAATTATTAAGTACCTATTGTAGTAAAATAATATTTAATATATTATGTATTATTTGCTGATTAATATTTTCTGTTTATGGTCCTTTCCAAATGGTCTTAAAACAGGTTTATAATTGCAATCCTACAAAGAAGAATAAAATCCAGCACAATGTTAATATAAGTCATAGAGATAATTTAACATTAATAACAGGAAATGTAACCAGCGACATACCAATTGACGATACTCTTACGTTAGTGGTTGTAATCGAATCGATCTACTAAAAGTGTGTTTATGTTCAATTTGTAAAGTTATAACTTGTAATAATTATAGTCTTTAAGTTTATAATTTATTTAATAGTGTTATGGTACACCGTCCTATCATCGTCGCTATTTTATCGCGAGCCTATTCGTCGTGCGTCAGTTCATCGCCACCAGTTTATCGCTCTATACATCCTCGCCATTATTTCATCGTGTAACAGTTTTTATTTTTACATAATTTGTCATTCATAAATAATTAATTAATCTGTCAAATAAATAAATAAATTAGATTTTATTATAAAATGTTAATTAATTTATTAGCTTTATTAGGTTAATAATATTAAAAACTGTTCAATCATTAAGAACAATTTTAAAATAAAAAATACTATACAATTCTAAAAATCACTAAAAATCAAATTAATTTAAATAAAAATATTATAAAATTCTAAATATCACTAAAAATTAAATTTAAAATAAATAATAATAAAAATATTCAATGTTTTTGGACATCAAAATTGAAGGCCAATCCTTTTAAATAGAACCAGATTAGTTTATTTCCATAGCCATCTACAATCCTAATAATTCTTTAATTATAAGGATTTAGTAATTTTCCATAATGATATCGAGTTTTTTTTATTTTTATTATATAATAGTTAGTTTTATAATATCCCGTGGAATTGCACATCGTATTTGATTTGGCGTATAATGCGATGATAATCTTGCGATAAAGTGTAGCACGATGAAATTAAACGAGCGACGTTGTGTTCACTATGAAATAACCACGAGGAAATACTAGCGATAAGATACTGCACGATTATTCAGCATGCGATAAAACGTCGGCGATGATTTTACGCGCGATAAATTGATGCGCGATGAACTGTCGCGGAATCATCTTCGAGTACAAAGGTATCTGGATAATTTATTGTAATGGACATAAAAAACCAATTTTTAATATTATTTAAATTTACATCATTTTCTGTATACCGCATATCTATTACATGGGAAATAAACATTTGGTAAAATGTATTATTATTCCATGTATTTCAATATGAATGTTCATTATAAATTCGGAATTTTGCATCATACTGCAAACAAGTTTGAGCTTTAAATAAACACTTGGTGTAGTCCTTTGTATTTCTGGATGATTTCGTAGTATTTCTTATGCCACGATGTTAATATGTTCCAATAATTGTTCACGGCTTTCGATGGCAACAGCGCATACTTTCTGTTTCATGTATCCCCACAAATAAAAATCCAAAGGCGTTAAATCAGGAGGTCGTGGTGGCCAAGCTATTGTACTTCCGCGCCCAGTCCATTGAGAGTAATGTGCATTCAAAAATTGACATACTGAACGATCAAAGTGTGCAGAAGCGCCATCAAGTTGAAACCACATTACTTGGAGAGTGGCAAGTGGTACATCTTCTAAGAGTACTGGCAATATCTCTCTTAAAAATTCCAAAAATGTAACTTGATTTAGCCGATTAGGTAAAATATATGGTCAAATAACTAAATCGTCTATCATTCCAGGCCAAACATTAATTCAAAATAATTCAATAAAAAATAAAAGTTAGAATTTTTAAATAATATTAAAATATAAACATTTCACACGTATATTATGTAAACTTACGATTTAATGTAAAAATTCTTGTTATAGTAAAAATATATTAAAGATATGATGTACTGATTCATATTTCTGTCCAGGGACCTTTCAAATTGGTTTTCAAACAGGTTTATAATTGCAATCCTACGAAGAACAATAAAATTCAACATAACATATACTTAAGTCACAAAAACAATTCAACATGGCTTCTAGGAAATTCTACTCTTGAAGTACCTCTTGACGACACATTATTCGTAAGTTGTTATAATTTATACAATGTGTATTAGTAAAGTGGTTATAATTTAACCAACGCAGTACCTGTATAGCTGCTGTATGTTTGAATTATAAACCTGGAGCAAAACGGAAACAATAGATTGATATATTATATTCGATTTTTGGCTGTAATACAGATATTAATAGTTGGGTTAAATTTATCCAAATGACGCAAATTCAAATCAAATCAAGGCCTAAAAAAGGGTTAAGACAGCAGTTACAACGATGTAAAAATCATGTACAAGAATTGTGGTGTATTTTTGTCAATATAAAGTGTCGAGTATGACGCGTTACGTATCAAGCAAGTATTAAGAGCACAATATAAGCGACCCGTTTACAATTATCTCAACCGAATACAATACAACTCCAAATTAAGTGGGAGAATATCGTAGTAAATTTTATAAGATCGTTGTGGCTTATTGCCACGTATCAAATCAAGTACGATGAGTATTTTTTTCATTTATTTCTCGAAATCTCTCCCAAGACCAGGTAGTATATTCGGTTGAAGAAAGTGTAGACAGGTCACCATTGTGCTTATACTTGGTACTTCTTCGATGCGTACCGCGTCAACATGATATAATTTAGTTTGTTTTCCAAAAACTCATTGGCGTCGTATCTTGCAGATTAATTTCATAGATCAATTATTAACAATTATTGCCATTTTTATACAGTTGGAAATTAAAATGGCTCTCAAAGACGCATCTGGAATTTGGAAAGAAAATACATTTACGCATAAAACACCCAAGGCTTGTTCATCGTTTAAAACAGCAATGGGAAACATGTGGACTCCATTCATAAATGGTATAGGATTTAAAAACACCGATTGTCCAATACCCCCGGTAAAAACCTAATTTGTTATTATTATTATTATATTTTATTTTATTATTATGATAACTACATAAACATTCATTGGCTTTGGAAATATTATTCCAATTTGATTAATAAGCACGATACAGATAGTATTTAGTACTTTTATAATATAAGTATATTAAAAAATTAACAATGAATTTAATTTGGGCAACACTGTGTTTTCAAGCATACTTGAGGTCAGATATTGATAAGCCATTTTATCAACTGAGAATATACACTTCATTCCACAATCGTCGTAGAGAATAATATTTAACATTTAATTTATAATTTAAACCACTGTAAAAAAACTATGAATGAAATATTATGAAATTTGATCAAAAACGTTGTATAGTGTCTTGATGATTGATATTATTTTATTTTCAGGGTATATATGTTGCTCCAGGTTTTGATTTGTCAATGTTTATGAGCACCAATTTCCCAAAAGTATTTATCTATGGAACATACAAAATACATATGTATTATTCACGTAGAACTGCAATTTTTGGATGTATAGTTTGCATTATGGAATTTAAGCGTATTTGAAATTTATTTCTTTCCTATTTACTACGATATCAACGGTCTATTAAATATCTGAATTTTAAAAATTGATTGTTTTTTTAAAAGAATTATACCCTTTTCTTAATGACTTCACTAAACAGCGTGTTCTACTATTTCGATTACGTATTTTGAACCATTACTTTGTGTCACCTAGTACTGCTACTGCATGATCAATGGGCAGCTGCAAGTCAGGTAAGGCATGTAATATAGTATATTAGATATATTAATTATGTAATAGTCACAGACTTGGATAGGGTAAGACGTCATAGGTTTTATTCAATACCACTGAAACGACAATATGTGGCACTGAACAATAAATTACAGGTCGAATTTGATTATAACGGGATACCCATATTTTTCAGCTTATGAGTTCAGTGATTAAGTTAATAACTAATAAGTAGGTATCTACTGTTAGTTTTTAATTGCCCTTCTGCCCTAGTACCCATTCACTTAATTTTATCACAAGGCAATCTTTAAAAAATGTAACTCGAATAACGTGTCAGATATAAAAAATATAATTGAGATAGTTTACAAATTTTGTATGCTCTAAAGTCTAAATTGTATTTTTATTTTTGGGTTGAGACGTATATGTCTATGAGTTTTTATATTGACTGGAGATTAACGATTCATAAAGAAAAAATTAAAAAAATTTAATGAACTACCCAATGAACGTGTTACAAGAAAGTAAACGTGAACGAGTTTTTTTTTTAAAGACTGAACTTGAACGTGAACGAATTCGTTTTTTTAGTCCTTTTTTTTTGGAATCTTCCGTACACTGGTCACTACACCTAATGAATATACATAAATATATAGTAAATACATATAGATAACCTATTATATATACTTGTATATTATACTTCTATGTCATATGAATACTAGTATACTATATTATACATTGTACATAGTAGTACATAATATAATATATTTTTAAATTATGATCAATAGCCAATCAACTGATTTCAACAGCTGTAAATGTATTGTTTGCGCCGCAAGAGCTCCTTCATGTGAGGTTAGTCCGTATGGAGGTAAGAGTGTTATAAATAGCAAATAAGACTTCGGAACCTGTTAGTAACCACAGGGCTCAGGTAGAGGGACATAATGTCATCCATTCTGTTTAACCTATAGTACTAGAAAAATTGTTAGTAAAAGCAAATACCACTGAAGGTTTCATACTAGAACAATTGACTGTAGGCCTTCTAGCATATGTGGATGACATAGTTAGTATATTGAATAATGTGGAAGGAGCGGAATGAATATGACGTCAAAGATCTTTTAAAGCTGTAGGCAATGTCGGGCTGGTAATTAATGAAGAAAAAATAGGATTTATAATATTAAATAGAAAATAGGTTAATTTCCAGTAAAATGAGATAACTACTGTGAAAACCATGGTTTTAATTTTTAAGGGGGGTATCTCATTTTAATTACTTAGGTTAAATACTCGAGAATAAAGTGACAATGACATAAAAGTAGACATTGATGCTAGGTAATAACTGCTACTATAGTTTGAATAAATTATTAAGTTTAAAAGCAATATTAAAAAATCTAAAACTTATAAATATATTTAACATTTATAACCCCAGTTGTACTTTATGGGTCAGAAACATAGCACCTCAGAAAAACGGAAGAAATAAGATTAGGTATTATTGGTACCATAGCATTACAAAAGAAACATCACTCAGGGGAATAAAATGAGCAGAGTATGCATAGAAACAAACAGGGATCAATATACATTACCGTGATTATTAATTTAAGAATTTAAATTAATTGTAATAGTGATAAGAGTGAGAATGCTGTGTGAATCACGCTGTATAATTAAATTTAAGTGTTTGAAATATTGTTTAACTCTAATGATGTAGGTACTATCTGCCGTAGCTAATGTTGAAATCACATGCAAAATCTACATTGATTTTTTTTGTGTACAGAAAATAGTTTTTTTTCAAAAACCAGCTAGTTAGTATTGCGCATGCAGATCCACATACGAGTGATACACTTTTTTTTTTTTTTTTTTTTATTGATCCTGAGCCCGGCAACTGTGGCCATTAGCTATTAGTAGGTACTGTAGGTTTTTGTATTGATGGTTTGTAGGTTTTTGGAACGGTAGGGGGAACACGTGTGTGTTTGTTTTGGCAGAATTTCGAATGGGGCACCCGTAGGTTTCTGCCATGCCCCGGGGGTGGGGGATGGCAGCACTTGCTCTCCGGTCACCGCGACTTGTCCGGAGAAAAATGCCGCCCGGTGGCCGAGGATCGAAC